CAATAGAACTCACGCCCACGTCATAAAAAATCTTTGACAGTGTTCTAAGAGGCAAGATCGCTAAGCACTGTGATTACCAACAATTGCACAAACCAGGTTTAGAGCAGGTCACTTCTGCCTCTTCTACAACTATTAGACCACTATGACATGGTCTTGGATGCACTGGAGGACAAACAGAATGCAGATGTAGTATACAGACTTTACGAAAGCCTTCGACAAGTGCGATCATGGTGTAAGAGCAAAAAATGCGTGATAAACGAATAACAAAAATGAAGGCAAATGAATTTTTAACCTCCTAACCAAAAGACCACAAAGAACAATAGTAAACAGAGCAAAGTCTGTTCCACAAGGGACAGTACTCGCTCTCATCCATTTCCTCATCCTTATAAATCTGACAGAATTTGCATGATAATGTTATCTACCGAGAACGCTGCAAATTTCCAAGCGGAAATTAATCAAGTCTTCAAATGGGCCTCAGAAAACAGCACGAAGTTCGATGAGGACAAATTTCAATTACTCTGCTATGGAAAACATGAAGAAATAAAAACTGGACCAGAGTATACAACAAATTCTAATACAACAGAGCGATAAAAAACTAACAAAGAACTAGAAGAGTGATGATGTTGGAGAATCTCACTTTCAAAGGTCACAATAGTGACTATCACATCATCTAGGTATATGATAAGAGGATAATGAGAACCTTCAAAACCAGGAATGCAAATCGGGTAATTATTCTCTTTAAATCACTTCTTCTCTGTAACCTTGAATATTGCTGTATAATAACGGCCCCATCCAAGGCAGGCGGAATGGCAGCACTGGAGAATGTAGAGGACTTTTATTGCACATATAGGTAAAATATAGCACCAAAATTACTGGGAATGTTTGAAGACCCTTGAACTGTACTCCGTGGAGCACAGGCGAGAAAGATGCATCATAATTTACACCTGGAAAATCCTGGTGGGGCTAGTTCGATATCTGAACATGGAAATCAGTCCCTACGGAAGCAAAAGACTCGGCATGCGGTGCAACATCCCTCCAATGAAAAGCTGGGATACCACAAGTACACAAAGAGATAACACAATAAATGTCAGGGGTCCAAGACTGTTCGTCTGCCTCCCAGCATACATAAAGAGGGGATTACGAATAGAAACTAGCTGTCTTCAAGAGGGAGATGGGCAACCGCCGAAAGTCGATACCTGACCAGCTGGGCTGTGGTTCGTACGCTTGATTGCGTACGGCCGGCAATAACAGCCTGGTTGATCTGGCCCTGATCCGCCTCGAGGCATGATCATGGACGGATCTGACCTCCGTAACACCCTCCAGGTATACTCCAGCTTTCTATTAAGCTTGTATAATGAAAGTAAAAGGTCGATGAAGGAATAAGATCAGCGAATTGTATGGTTATAGTGAGATTAAAAACTAAGTGTAGAAAGCAAGGTGAGCCTAGTCTTACCACTAACAGCTAGTTGCTAGTTTCTCTCTCTCTCTCTCTCTCTCTCTCTCTCTCTCTCTCTCTCTCTCTCTCTCTCTTTCTAAAATACCTGGGTAATTATAAGCCATAAGCAATAAGAATCTTGTAAGTAACAAGGATGATCTATGATTCTCCTGTGTGGTGAGCCAGAAGCCGACATTCTATAATTGACAACCCATCCCCATTTGAGGGTGTTGAAGGGGTGGAGAAAGTGGGTGGTGGTGGTGGTGGAGTGGAAATGGACTTAGTGATGTTGGTGGTGTTGGTTATGGAGGTGAGTGGATTGATTAAAATGGATGAGGTGATGGTGGAGTGAAGGATGAGGTGAGGGTTGTGTTGGGCGGGACTGTGAAAATACTCACCTAATTGTATTCACCTAATTGTGGCTGCAAAGAGGTCGAGTCTCAGCTCCCTGTCATCCTCTCTGCCGGCCGCTATTGGTTCTACTCTCCTGGCTGTATGAGCTATGCCATACCTATTCTTAAAGCTATGTATGGCTTCTGCCTGTACCTCTTCATTGTCTATCCCTGGAGAATACCTGGAAAGGATTTCAGGGATCAACGCCCCCGCTGCCCGGTCTGTGACCAGGCTTCCTAGGCCTGTCTAGGTTAATGTTTCTCAACTTTTAACCCTTAGGGAACCCTTGAAATAATTTTCATGTCTCAGGGAACCCCTACATAAAATTATTATCTATCATTATTATTATTTTCTTTTATAATCTTAAAATTCACAAGGAAAATATTTTTTTTAATAACTAATTTAAGCAAAAAAAAAAAAAATACGTTTTCCTCAAAGTTTATTGAAAATGCAAAAAAAAAAAAAAAAAAAAATTTGCTTGTTGAAGGATTTCATTCACACACAAAAAAATTAACCATAACTGTAAACAAAAAATAGTAAACAGTAATCAGAATCATATATAACACATATAAACAGTAAGAAAACAGATAATAACTACTACAATAATTTAATAGTTTACTGACAATGTTTACAAGGCATAAGATAAATCAAAGCAAAATGTCATATGAGTAAATATATGGGTTATGGAAATGCTATTTTTGAAGCCAGTTTAGATAATGAAATTTGCTTCTCTAATGTGAAACTTGTGGTTGTCTTTTGGTACATAAATAATTAATTCGAGGTCGAACTTTGAATACACACACACGAATGCACACACGGATAAACACACACGGATAAACACACACGGATAAACACACACGGATAAACACACACGGATTTCATCTTCATCTGAAAGGAGACGATTTCTGTCTTTGTTCTTGATACTTGCTGTATATGAAACAGCTTGATCACACATGTAACAAGTTCAAAACTGCAGAAATGTATTTATTGCTTTCCTATGAATGGCAGGATACTCTTCTTTCACAGAAATCCAGAACTTCTAGAGGAATATGTCAGTAAATCTCATCTTAAGTGTACCATCAGACTGCAGCTGCTCACAAAGTTCTTCCTCTTCTCTTTAAGTTCTCAGAATGAGCAGAAGATTCAGAGTCTGAATCCCTCACACAGTCATACACTTGTGTTGTAAGGGAGAGAAAAATAATGTTCGATTTTATTCCAGTTCTTCCAGGTGGGTTTCAATTAGACCTGAAATTTACTGATATCCTTCTACACTTTTAAGCCTCAACAGTAACTGAAATATCTCAGGATTTCCTTTTGCAACATAATTTTTCCAAAGAGTCAGTGTTCTTTTAAATCCAAGAATCTTTTCAGGGTCTTGCAGTGACTTGTTCATCTGATTCATGTGATGAAAAATGTCTGCTAAGTAGGCTAGCCTCTGCAACCATTTTTCATTTTCAAAGAACTTGGCAAACTCTTGCTTATTGTTTTCTTGAAAGTATTCCTGCAATTCATCTTTCAGCTCAAACATCCTATTTAGAAATCTTCCTCGACTCAGCCACCGGATTTCTGTATGTAGCAAGAGATTTATGTGCTCTTTGTCCAGGTTTTCACACAGTTTTTAAACATTTTGGAGTGAACTGGTCTTTGTTTAATAAAGTTGACCATTTTTTGTAGCATCAAAAACTCATTTCATCTCCAAGAGATTTTTGAAATCAGAATCTTTGTCAAGAAACCATTGCTTTGAGATAGCATCAGCTTCTCTTATTTTACAATAGAAACCGAAACTCTTGTGGAGCCAAACATTGCTGAGGCGCCATTAGTACAGATGCCAATACAGTTCTTCCAGGAGAGGCCTCTTGTTTCCAGATATGAGGAAAAATACTGAATTTATCTCTTCCTTTGCTTGTCTCAGGCAGCTTTTAGCAACAAAAGTTTTCTTGAATTGCATCATTAACAAATCTTACAAAAACTACAACGTCACAGAAGGAAATATGCGATGACAACTGCAACATAGAGGAGGTTGAGATGAACCCCTGGGACTCTGATGGGTATTCTCCGCACTGCCTTGTATATGATGATACTCACAGTGATTCATTTAATTTGTCAAGTAAAGGTTCTTCAGATCATTTACAATCACATGCTTCAGACACTCCCACCGTGAAAGCGAGAGTTGTGGACACTGAGAGAAATGGTAGAGAGCCTAATGGTTCAGTCAGCATTCAGAATAACGAAATACATGCTTGGCCCCAGGTAACAGAAGATGCAGGCAATTCACACTTTTCTTCAGTAGCATTTGTCTCTTCATTATCATCTGCATCAGCCGAACTTCATAGCCAGTCCTCGAGTAAATTCAACATTGCTACTTTACCCAAAGTGAATTTATCTAAGCATGTGCCAGTAGTGTAAGTATCATCATACAATCCCAGAGAGCCAGCTGTTAGGAAATATACTTCAGAATTTAAAATAGGAAATATTAAAGCATCTCTTCCTCTTTCCAAAAGTTTTTCAATGACACAAAAACAATTCAAAGAAACTGTAGAGTTAAGTAGTTTGAGGTTATGGGCAGACTCCACCTTAATTCAGAAGCTTCAGTCACTGCGCAAGAGAGCAGAAACATTGACTAGTAATGTCTCACCACATGAGACACCAGAAACATCGACTAGTAATGTCTCACTGCACAAGAGACAGAAGCATTGACTAGTGATACAGAAGATGCAAGCAATTCACACTTTTCTTCAGTAGCATTTGTCTCTTCATTATCATCTGCATCAGCCGAACTTCATAGCCAGTCCTCGAGTAAATTCAACATTGCTACTTTACCCAAAGTGAATTTATCTAAGCATGTGCCAGTAGTGTAAGTATCATCATACAATCCCAGAGAGCCAGCTGTTAGGAAATATACTTCAGAATTTAAAATGGGAAATATTAAAGCATCTCTTCCTCTTTCCAAAAGTTTTTCAATGACACAAAAAACAACTCAAAGAAACTGGAGAGTTAGGTAGTTTGAGGTTATGGTCAGACTCCACCTTAGTTCAGAAGCTTCAGTCACTGCGCAAGAGAGCAGAAACATTGAATAGTAATGTCTCACCACATGAGACACCAGAAACATCGACTAGTACAAAACAAATTCTGGTCACAAAATAGAGCGAAACACCAACGTCAAAGACCTGGGAGTGATCATGTCGGAGGATCTCACCTTCAAGGACCATAACATTGTATCAATCGCATCTGCTAGAAAAATGACAGGATGGATAATGAGAACCTTCAAAACTAGGGAGGCCAAACCCATGATGACACTCTTCAGGTCACTTGTTCTATCTAGGCTGGAATATTGCTGCACACTAACAGCACCTTTCAAGGCAGGTGAAATTGCCGACCTAGAAAATGTACAGAGAACTTTCACGGCGCGCATAACGGAGATAAAACGCCTCAATTACTGGGAGTGCTTGAGGTTCCTAAACCTGTATTCCCTGGAACGCAGGAGGGAGAGATACATGATTATATACACCTGGAAAATCCCAGAGGGACTAGTACCGAACTTGCACACGAAAATCACTCACTACGAAAGCAAAAGACTTGGCAGACGATGCACCATCCCCCCAATGAAAAGCAGGGGTGTCACTAGCACGTTAAGTGACCATACAATAAATGTCAGGGGCCCGGCCCTGTTCAATTTTGCCTCCCAGCACACAAAGGGGGTTTTTTTTTCCAAAAAACCCCCTGGCAGTCTTCAAGCGGGCCCAACTGGACAAGCACCAAAAAGTCAGTTTTTGATCAGCCGGCTTGGCTCTTACTTTGGGTTTGTGTGCAGCCACAGTAACAGCCTGGTTGTCAGGCTCTGATCCCCCAAGGAGGTGGTCACAGACCGGGCCGGGGGGGGTTTTGCCCCCCGGGAAACTCCCCCAAGGTAAACTCCAGGTAAACTCACATTTTTTCGGTAAGTTTCCCCGTCACTCTTCGACGGTAAGAAATGCTATTTTTCTTTTACCCACACAAACCCTCTCGCGCCATGTGACATGTCACCAATAAAATCGGCTTTTTGTACTGTAAAATTTCTGTACTGAAATTTTTGTCTCGCATTTTCCCCCACTATAGTGTATTTTTCCTTATGGTGCAAAATTTTCTGCAAACCAATTAATTTTTTTTCCTTTAGTATTTCCACAGACACTACTTTTTTCCCACAAAAGCTGTACTTGTTTATTTTGTTAAGTAGGCAAATTTAAATTTTCCCTTTTTTACCAATTTTTTAAACCCTGGCGAATCTAGGGTTCCGGGGAAACGCTAGTCTGGGTCGTTCCTTTTCCCCTTAACCACTCTACGACTAAAGATTTAGTTCCAAACATCCTTTTTGGCTCGTCTATTCTTTTAAATTTTCCGTGTCCCCCTCGTGAAAACCCGGATCATTTTCAAACATTCGCTATGTTTACCTTGTCTTTTCTTCTCAGAAATTTTATATATCTAATCATTTTCCCCTTTTCTGGTGCTTCTGTGGGTTAGTGTAAATCAGGTTTAGCTTCTCTAGCCTTTTTTTTTTTTCCCCCTCACAGTTTATATCAGTCAGCTCGGGGAAACTAGCTTCGTTAAAAGGGACTTTTTTTTTCGCCGCCCCTTTACATGCTTTTTCGGGACGGGGGTTTCCAAGAATTCCTGATATAACCCTGTTGTCATATACAGTTTAATTTCACTAAACCCAATATAAGCTTTTTGATATACGGGCTTATTTTCGGGGAATATCTTGGAACCCACGCCCTGTAAAGATGTAAAGAGGGGCGAAAAACCGGTTTCCCAAACGAAGCAGCCCCCAGAGCTGACGGAATAAACGGGTAAAGAGGGGGGCTGGGAAAAGGGTCTTTTTGGGATGCTTGCAGCATTTCCTTAAATCGCTGTGGGCATTTCCCATAGAATCTTAAAACCAGGGGGACATCACAACCTAGATGCTACTTTGGAAAAAACATTTAGATAGGACTATTTTCCACTGGGGGGGGGCCCCCCCAACCTGCTTTCCCCCCTCGGGACTCCAAAATATAAGCCCCAATCTTCCTTTTTTTGCTTAATTTTTTTCCCAAAAAAAACTACGGTGCCCATTTCCCTGCTCCAGCCTTCATTGTGTCCATGTAATGTACTGAAAAACCCAAGGGATGGGGGAAAACGTTACAGAAAAAAATTCCCAAAATGTTTTACATGTTTCACATTCATCAGGGGGTATATTATACCCTGATATCCGGGGTGGTGGTTGTGGTTATAGTGGTATTGCATTGTTTTCATAACCTAACCTAAAAATTTTTATGCAATATGCCCCATCACGCTTCTGAAATATAAATCAATAACCCGAAGGGGGTCATAAAACGACTGAAAATCATTTTTATCGACCCCCTCTAGCTTTACAACGACTTTAAAGGAAAAGAAAGCAACTGCTGAAAGGTTGTCATAAATTTCCTGACAGACGCCAGTGGGGGAGAATGTCATAAACTACTGCACGTGATGTAAAATTTGCCCCGTTTTAAAGCATGCTTGCAAAATTTCATAAACTATGAAACCTGTCATAAAGAGAGGGCAAATCATACAGTGATAAAAAACTAGTTATAAAAAGCAAAAAATTTGCCACCACGGTTGAAACAACTTGTCTTTCAACGGCTGAAGATTTTAAAGGGCTGAAAAGATTCGTCTTCAACGAATAAAGGGCCTACAATATTTATCAACTTCTGAAAAACGTCAATAAAAAAAGAATTAGACAGTGCAACATCTGGGTATCTTCACTGAAGACGTTTCGCCCCAGCAGTGGCTATAAATAAAATACAAAAAAAAAAGTAAGAATTTGTACAAAATAGGGAATCGTCCCCCCATTTAAAGCTGGTGAAGACCCCTTTAACAGGGTGCTCAAAATTCTATTCCAGTAATTCTCCATTTTTCGTATTTTATCCCATTTATCTAAAACCCATATCAAACGCAGAAATTGTTTTCATCAAGGGTTACAGTTTTCCTTCTCTCACAACAAACATTTTCCCTTTTTTCTTTGTTACTGTAAAATAATTAATACTACATATACTATGTATACCCCATACACAAAAAACTGATTCATTAAAATTAATATCCCAAAAACATACCATAAAAAGGGAAAACAGTTTATTGTTTTATATTTTCCCCATGTAAATACTCTTCGGTATACAATTTGGGATAATTGACTGTAAAGGGCCATTAGACATAAATTTGCAAAATCAAAAACTTAATGAAAAAAAACCCCCTGTGAAAACAGAATATTTATTCGTGAAACGCTTCGCCTACCAGAAAGGTTTTTTTCTGTTAAATAAAAAGGGCAGCATTTAAACCCTTCTATTTTGGTTTTTAATTTTTGTCAATAAAAAAAAACCCAACTAACACTTGTGCTTAATCAATTGTCCTTTATTTTTACCCCCTTTTCAGATACGAACAGCTTTTTCTGTTACTTCATGCGTACCTTGGACTCGGGGGGGGAAACCTTTATGCTAAAGGGGTTTCTTGTTTTTGGGAATCAGGCTCCCCTTTGGGGTTGGTTCACACCTAAATTATGTCTCTTTTAAACCAGGAGTGATGGTCCTTGGGTTGAAGGGCTTTCCAGAAAAAAAACAATACACAAAAACCCAAACAAAAAACTAAAAAAAATTTAAAATTTTCAAGGGTTTTTGAAATTTGTAACAACAATTAAAAAAAAAAACCTTTAAAAAATAAACCCAAAAAACAAAAGCAAAAATCAATAGCGAAAACAAAAAAAACCCAGATATACGGGTTAAAAACAAAGCATAAAAAAACCACGAAAAAACAACAAAAAATACAAAAAAAAATAGCAACAACAAAAAAAAAAAAACCCAAAAAGGCATGGTAACAAAAAAAAAAATATAAAAGGGCCAAAAAAACAACAAAAAAACAACGAAAAAAAACTCAATGACAATACCAACAAAAAAAAAAAGCAAAAAATAAAAAAAAATAATAAAACAACACAATGTTATCGTTCAGAACTAGATCAATTTTTTTTCCAAATCATTTCGGGGGAACAACAAATATGTGTGTCGGGGGAATTTTTAAATTTAAATTTCCCCAGAAATTTTTTCCCATCGTTTTGGCTTCGGGGGAAAATGCTAAATTTAACCCATTGAAAAGTATGCTGCTTTAAAGTGAGAAATGCTGCAAAAAGTGGGGTTTGCTGAAAAAAGGGGAACGTAATGTGCATAAAGTGCGTAATGGCTCAAAGTCCCCCTAATTTTTTTGTAAGGTGTTGATAAAGGGGTGAAAAAAACCAGCAGGATAAATAAATTTTAGTTTTTTTGTGTGTATTTACTGGGGAACTTTTCCCCCGGCCCGGGCAGCTTGTTCGGGGTCGAATAAAAGGAAAGACATTT